CTGAGGTAGGTGATAAAGAGAGATTTGGGCCAGATTTTGTGCAAGAAACTACAACACATATTGAAATGATCAGAGAGAAACTTAAACAGGCACATAATCGGTAGAAAAGTTATTATGATAATAGACATAGACCGCTAGAATTTGAAGAAGGTGATCATATATTTGTGGGGTTATCTCCAGTTACGGGTGTTGGTCGTGCATTGGGTGTGAGGAAGCTGAGTCCTCTGTTCATTGGGTCGTATTAGATAATGAAAAGAGTAGGATGAAGGTTCGAAAATTGCACCATGGTCATACTATGGAGTGCATACATGGGTTGAAAAACAAAAATTTTCGCAGCGGAAGCATAGACCATCTATACACTCCATGTATGAATGCTTTACATTGAAATAATATGGGGTTTCAGAATTTCCTTTTCACTTGTAGGCGCAAAAGGATAACGCCCTCCAACGGTGATCCACACGGTTATCTCCTTCTTGCTAGCAAGAACTCTTTCTCCTTGATCACTCCTTATCCTCGGTGGCTGGCTAGGCGCATGCAAGGAAGATGCTACCAAGTGTTTGGATTATTTTTCTCAAGACTGTAATGGTGTCTTGAGGCTAGGTGATGGTGCAAAAAGGAGAGAGAAGAAGAAAGGTTGGAACTTTTCCTAGAACCCTAAGAGGAGAGAGGGAGCATCAGGTTTTTCTTATTTTCTGATCAACTGCATCAGCCCCCATTTAGTTAGGCGCAAATTTGAATGGTGATAGGATTTTTCTTTGCTTAATACTCTCACTTAACAACTGACCAGACTGTTGGGAGCCTTTGGAAGTATAACACCTCGCAATTCTAAATTATATATTAAAATATTAAACATGGATTAAAAGGGAAGGATTAGTGAAAATCCTGGAAATTAGGTCAAAATACAAAGGAAGGGTAAAACGGTAATTGGCCAACACACAACCCTAGGAAGATAAAAATTGAGTAGAAGGTCTCAGATGATAAAAATAACCCTAGAAATGGATTCAGAACGAAAAATTGAGTGGTTAGGCAAGTTTTAGAAAATTCAGTGAATAGTGTTTTTACCGGGTCAAAATACCGCAGTACAGTTGCACCGTAAAGCGTGTCGATTGAGTTTTGAGCTCTAGGTTTTGAATACAAGTTATAAATGGTATATAGGACTAGGAAATATGATTTCTGATGAAAATTGAGGGAAATGAATAAGTTTGGGGAAGCGTGCCAACAGAGTGGGTAACAGCTTAAAACAACATTTTCTCCGAACGAACGGAAAACTCAGGATTCATCTGATCAAGGGTAATTAAAGGAAAATGGTTAATGTTAAAAATTAGAGTTTCTAAATAGGTTATGAAACTATGGTGGTTTAGTGGAATCGGAGGGAGTTTTGAATTAGTTTGAAATCGCGTGAGGTGGCGGTGGGGCCCACCTCACTTAAGTTACTTAAGACACATGTGCATATACACTATTCATCATCTCCCACCTTCACTCTCTCTCAAAATCGTGACTTTCTCTCTCCTCACACCATTTCTCTTTGAAAATTTCTTTCTTCCATTACTCACTCCATACAACTCCGAATCAAGAAAAGTTTGTGAGCAAAGTTGTTGGAAATCATCATCCGAACACAACCCATATATTAGTTTTTCTTGAAACCCTCTCATTTGAGAGATGTGGGGAAAAACCAGCCACAAAAATTGAGAGGATTTTTGTGATTTTAGAGTTGTTTGCTTAAGCTATTGCTTGGAGATCACTTGGAGGAGTCTTGTGACTTGATTGTGGGTAAAATTCAACACCTTTCATGGATTGATTTGATGATTTAATTTCATGAAAACCTAGAGCTTGTATGCTTGATTTATGGAGTTAGAGAGCTCAAATGGAAAATGTTTGTACATGAATATGTCTTAGAATGATGTGTAGGAGCCATAAATGCAATAAAAATTATTGGTGAAAAATATGATTTTTAACTTAGGAAAATTTTGATGGTGTCATGACTTTGTGTTTGGAATTGTTGTTAGGATTGTGTAATTGGATTGTTGGAGGTGTATATGAGTTAATAATGGGATGATAGGATGTATTACATTTCTAAATTGAATTGAATGGTCCTTGGTGTGGGCATTTGTTGATTTCGGCCAAGAAGGAAAAATAAGAGAAATGATGTTGTTGAAATTATTTGGATGATGTGTTGTGTATTTTATGGTAATTAGATGGGTTGTGTGGTGGATGGAAGGTTGGAAAACCAATGGAAAAATAATTGATAGTGTTGAGAGGTGAAATGGAACCTAGAGTAAAATATTAGGCAAAACATAACATACATCAACATAATGACATCAGTTGTCTAATAGGTATTATTACATGATTAATGAAATTAAAAATGTCTTTTTATCTGAACTATGACAATATTAAAAAACAACCAATTACATAGACCATAATTTGAAGAATTGCATCAAACATGTCCCTTCCACATGTCAAACATCTCCCGCGCCATATCATCCCTCCATTATGTCCAGGCATTAGATGCCTCTATGTAACATCCTCATCTCGAACCAGTTCAATTAACATACATATGATATTTAAACATGCATCAGCGGAAGTACGAGCTAACTTTTTTCTTCTTCTTTTCTTTCCTTTAATTCACATGATATATTACAACACATACATCTTTTCTTACTTGTTCATAACATACTTTCCTTTTATCCTTTCATTCTCTAATACATATCAGATAAATGACCATAGCTAAAGATCGCATACCATTAGGATATGACCACAAGTTTCACTCCAAACAGAGTCTCGAATCGGACAGAGTTCCATTTGTTTCTCGGATAAACGGGGATATGATCCCACTTTCATAACGCCCTAATAAAATATATCAAATATATATATATATATATATATATATATATATATATATATATATATATATATATATCACATATGACTATAAAGCCATCCATGGGCGCATGCATACAAGGTTTCGTGCCTCTAAATCTAACAACATGCAATCATATCTCAGAATATACCTCATCTCATAATAACGCCTGAATATTAAAATGTACATGCATAAAAAGCGGAAAGCATGTACAACACCTATACAGGCCATATACATAACTCTGGATCAGACATCACGATCCCTAAATAAATAGAGCACAAATATAACAGTATATGCTCTCCAAAAATAACATCTATAGTAAATAGTAGCCTCCGGCTACCCAAAACTCCATATCCTCATGCTAGCACCTCTAGCCATGAGTAAGGTCCTTGCCCCGTGATATGAATAAGAAGACAATACCTAGTGATCCATTGCAATTGCCAAATGGGCCAATCACAAGATCAAGGACCAAGAAGTTTAAAGAAGCTCTTAGTGGGTTGATCCAACAAATGTGGGCTAATCATGAAAACATCAAGTCCAAATTTATTCATAATCAGAATTTAGTTAATTCCATCAATGCAAGGGAGGTTGAGTGGAATGAGCAGCAATTTCCAATGTCAATTAATGCATAGTGGGGCTGATAGCAATTTCAATGTTATTAATGCTTAGTGTGGCTGATTAACATTTTCAATGTCATTAATGTTTAGGGGCTGATTAGAGTCTTTTCCTTTTTTTCAAGTTGTCAACTTTAAATTAGTGTCTTTTCATTTGCTAGTCTTTTCCTATTCTTGGAAAGATGTTCCAAGTAAAAATAAGGGAGGATATAACTCTTGTAATTAGATTTGGAAGTTATAATATAATAGAGAGGTTTCTTCTCTTTGGTTCTTATCTAGAACTCTGAACTTATCAAGAAGCTTACTCTTGTGGCGTTCAACATAGACTTATCACTCGCCTTCTTCTTTCTTGAGTGTGGCGTCTTTATCCTTCTTATACCTTTGGTTCTTATCTTCCATAGATAACGGGTCAAGATTCTTTATTTCTTGTTTTAAATTCCTGATTGTAGAAACGATCCTAACTAAATTGGTCTTGGGTCTCACTATTCTAGGTGAGGTACATATCACCCCGTGAGAGCTCTCCAGTTAACTGTGTACCTGAAATCATATCCCCAAATGGGGTGAGAGACGAATCTCCAGTAAGTTCCAAGTTTATAGAGAACTCTCCATACTCTGGGCCCACTTCCTGCATGACAGCCAGATACAAAATATACAAAACATCATATACATCATATATCATATTATACTGAACATATCTCATATAACATCTCTGAAGTACACAGTCATTCCCCAAGGACTTCTCTCCATGTGAAAATCAACTCACTTATTCCCAAGGGTTTCTCTCCTACATGGAATATCTCATATCTCATATCTCATTGGTGCATATAACAACCCTCATTAGTAAATTAAGGGAAATGAATTAATTAGGTGGTTAACTAGATTAAATACTTATGCAATGAAATTGTGAGAGTTAAATTGATAGACTCATGTGATAAATAATAAGAGAATATAGTCTAATGGATCCAAAAATAATTATTAGATATGATTAAAAATATCAATGTCATGATGGTGTAAGTTAGAGTTATTTTGGTAATTAGACAAAATAAGCCTAAACATGGATTATAATGTATAATTAAATAGTTTAGAAAAATTAGTGACTTCAAAGTATCTTAAAATTAATTAAATGATGATTAGATTAATAAATTAAAATTAAGTAAAAGATGTATTAAAAATGAACCTATAACATTTAATTTAAAAGTTACAAAGTTGATTAAGTAAACTAACATAGTCACTTGGTTAATTGTAACATCAAAGTGGGTAACTTTCTTTTGATTTCAAAATTTACGTTAGTTGTTATTTTTCTTGCTTTTAAGTGAGCCAATGGAAGTGTAGGTTGAAAAGTCAATTAGGTGAATATGTAAGTTACATGATCTTTCCTTTTTTTTCTTCCAAAAGTCGGTTGATGGTGTGTGCCTCACATATCCCACGTCATTTTCTTTCTTAAGCATGTTAAGAAGTCAATTAGGTAACCAATAGAATTTAAGCATAAAGGTTACACGTCGGCAGCCCCTTGGGATTGGTCTCTCACGCTCATCTTTTCTTTCCTTTCTTCTCATGAAGGCCGAAGCTTGCTAAGGAAAAAGGGCAAGGAAGTTCTTGAAGATTTAGGCAAAACTAGTAAAATTCTATCATACAAAACTTATAGCTTTAGGTCTTGTAATCCTAAATCTCCATTCTTTTCACCTTGGAAAGTTTTATATCTTGAGTTAGCCTTCTATAAAGCGGGCTGCTACTGTTCATCCAAGGTGTAGAAGTTGGGTTTTCTTCAAGTCCTTAAGTTGGAATATGCTGTTTATGTTCAAGTGAAGCTATTTAAGGTAATACACCTAAATTATAATGGCTGGAAATTTTGTTATAAGCAAGTGTTTTTTTCTATGATGAGGGCTGATTAGGGATGCATGATATCATAATTATTTAAGGGGTTTTGTGCATGGTTATTGGTTGTTTGTTGATTCTATGTTAAACTAAACATGGAAATGCTTAAAATGAGTAAAAGGATTTGATATACGTACAAAGACCTAATCAGCCAAGTGAGGGAAAATAGTGCAGACTAAGTGTTTGTTAAAATGCATAAATGGAACTATGATTTAAATGGACCAAATGATTATTGGTTTAATATATATTAAGCGAAGGTTGAAAGAAAATTCATATACCCCTTTATATAGGCCATTCGGCCATGAGTGGTAAAATAGGAGGGGTAAATCTCTAAGTCTTGAAAAATATGTTTAAAAGATGTTTGGAACATATATGGTTGATGAACAAAGTAATCTATAATGATAGGAAAGGAAAAAAACAGAACTTGCAACTAGAAAGCTAATTAGGTGCTTCAAAAGCCGCATTATTGAAAAAAAAGAAAGATGCAATTTGGTTGTTATCTCAGATGATTATTTATTACTTGTGCTTTCAAAAATAGTTGAGAAGACTTCCAAGTGTAATTTTTAATAAGTAGAAAGAGGACACGTAAAAAAAAGTAGGTGTAATAGGAAGCTAATCAATTTGGTGCTTTGGATATACTGTTTGTTATAAAGTTGGGGAAGCCAAAGAAGAAAATAATGGTATACTTGTCAATAAGAATTGACACAGCTGATCTTCTATTCACGTTAGTTATGATGTGGGTTTGATTCTTGTCTTTATCATATATAATTCCACTTTAAATTCTCAATGTAGTTGATAATGGATGGCATGAATGTGAGTGCTGTTGTTTTAGTGTAGTTTAGGGTCCACTTGATATAATAAATCAAGATGGAATATGGTTTAATTTGTGAAAAGGTCATTAGACCTATTTTATGTCAAATCTGTTAAGTAAGATACTGGTGATTAAGTTGATGCTTGAAAGACATCAATGTTGATTATTAGTAATGATTTTATAATTGGATTATGAGTATAGTATGTTAAGTGAAGGCATAACCTAATGAGTTAAGATTAGGTTAATAAGTGGTGGTTGTGTTAAAAAAAGAAAAAAGAAAGAAAAGTTAAATATAATCTAAAGTAACTTGGAGTAGTTACAATTACACAACGAAGGGTGGTAAAGACTTTGTCAAGATTAAAGGAAAATATATATGTATATGATCATTGAAGATGTTTTTTTTAGGTTATGTGAGGTTCAATATTATGATGTTAGTTATGTGAAGTTAACAAAAATTTTATGTAATAAATATTTGTATGAGAATCAAGTTTATTGGTTAACTATGGCAACGAAAGAATTGTATATATGTTTATATATTGAGTTCGGCCATGAAGGAAAGAATGGGCATAAATTGGGTGTTTTTAATTCAAGTAATTGATTTATAGCATTTTTCTAGAATAAGTAAGTATGATTCAAATGGTTTAAGATACGTGAAGCTTTGTTAAAAGCGTATGAAATGTTAACTATAAATTAGTAAATTAATTAACTAGTTGGGAGTCTAAGTTATGAAGTATAAGTTACGTTGTAAACTTATGGGATGGCATGAACTGTCAAGGGAAATAAAGTTGTCAAGTTGGTTATGAAATTAACATATGAAATATAATTATTCGGATTTCAAGTAATGTATATTTCATTGGAAATTAATGGTACTTTTATATGTACGGTAACAGAGTGTAATCGGACGAAGTAGGTGGACGAACAACTTGTAGACAACCAAGTTACGGTGTATTAAATAGCAAGTTAGCAGCAGGAAAGATGTGACAGGTAAGCTTTCGGTTTAGGAGTTTTCTCAGCCTTTGGTTCCGCCATGATCAGTGGCGATTATGGTTTCCGTATGGATATAATTGTTGTTAATATTGATACTTTGCGTAGTTGCATTCATATAGTGCATGCATATGATATTATTTTTGTTATGATAAGTTAATATGATATGATCTTCAATGAAATAAAGCCTTGGAAGTGTGAGTTATGGTTTCTGAACAGAGGAAGCATTTATGGATATGATCACGTTGTACATAAGGTATAGCCGAGGAAATTTTAGTTCTCTGATCATTATGAGTATGCTATTGATTATGATACGATATTACGAATATAAGATGAAAGCCTTATTTATACATAAGACATGAACATACTTAAGATTTATAAGAAGGTACGTTATAAGAATAAATGAGAATTATCAGAAAAGATATATGATACGAAAATTCTAATATGGACTATATGGTGTTATCTATGTCTTGGTACTTGATATTTTCTTGCAGGAAGTGGACTCTTGGGTGGAGACTGCTCTATAAACCCCAAGTTTATTGAGATTCATTCTCACCCCGCGTTATGGGGACATATTTCAGGTATCGCAGCAGTTGACGATCGTTCTCGGGGCAAGAGGCCCGTGGTTGATGAGTAGATCTGAGCATAGAGGTTGCCTGCTTATTTTGGGAGTCTGTAGTATTTATATGTTACACTGTAATCTGGTTATTTGATATTTTGCCGATGCATGGTTATTAGCTGGGCTTTCTAAGAGGCTATACGCCTGTGTACAGATGTTATTTGTGATACTGTGATGTATTATGTTTATGTAGGTTGATGTAGGATGTTGTAGTTAGGGCACAAAGCCACCTTTTTGATGTGATATATATAGTGTTATGGATCATTTCTGCATGCTACTGTATATGATATGGAATTGCTGTATATTGTTGGGTTGTAAGTGCCCCAAGGCATTGCTGGTTCTTGTGTGTGCCACCCATTGGATTATTAGGTATATTTGTGGCATTAGTGAGCTTGTACAAATTTGGGGATTTAAGGAAAAACAAAGGAAATTCTGGCGAATTTTCTGTAGAATTGGCATATTTGGACGAACTTCGGGAGAACATATCTCCCTCCATAGAGGTCCGATAGGGACGTTCCATACGCCATTTTGAAGCTTGAGATGTCCCCTACATTGTGTCAAAATATTAGAATTTTATGGGTTGTGCGCAGCCCTGTGGAAGTCAGTGAACACAACTGCCCTGTTTTGCCCTGCACTTGGGGGCTGTTCTGGTCCAGTTTTGGGAATTTTATTCTCGCTTCGTTTCTTGGTCAAATTAAGCGTATGATATATCAAATCGAAGATTGAGGTGTCTAGTTTATGGTGTAAAATTTTGAGAGCAATTGGATGAGTGGATTCTGTGCAGTAATTCAGAGAGTGAGGGATGTTTAGAGCTGTTTTGGGGTTGGAGGGCAATTTTGCTTGTCCAACTTTAAACGGCGATATCCGGAGCAAACGTACTCCGATCATAGCATGTGATAGCATTTTAGAAAGGGAATTAAGTAAGAAAAAATATAACCTGAGTGGAAGGACTGAATTTTGTTGTGCGTTCGCAGTAATTTAATTAGTGAACCATGATCCGGTAAGTAAAAACGTAAAAGTTAGTAATTGGCTAAGTGGGTTTATGGGAACCTCTTAGTAACTTATAATAAGTAAAGTAAGTTATAAAAATAGTTTAAATAAGTCTTCCGCAAGAGTTTACCGTTACGGTCACAGCTTTTAATTATTACGCCTTTTATGTTTTAAAGGCTCGCGTAATAATCGGAAAAAGTTTATTCGCGTTTTTATAAATTAATTGCTGTGATTGTAACTGCGTTTAATATCATAATTAATGTTAACAATACAGGTGTACAACGGGCTGTTACAGTGCACACTGTTATTCCTAAGGGTCTCTTCCCTACACGGAGTTTATGCACACCGATTCAATGGCCAAGAATCATCACACATATCATATAAAACATGTCATATCACATCATCATAAAGCTCTATATGAATGAATCTATATCATATATTTCATACATATCATACAACCCGACCATAGTTCGTACACTATGGCGGAACACAAAGTAGAAGAAAACTCCTTAAACATAGAGCTTACCTCTCGAAGCTGTATAACTAGCCTACCCGAAATACGAGTTACCTAGCCTTCTCTGATGTTGGATCCTCAACCAGACTCCTACGTGCACCTAGAATATGGAATCCACACAAATATCAATAAAATGGTTCAAAGCCAAGTAATTAACCAGACACACCATTTTTTTGATTTTATCTATTATTTACCAATTCTTATGTTAATATTATGTCATACACATATGTAAGAGAACCCGCACCGCTAAGTTAGGAATTTAATAAGTTAGATACGATTTTAATAAATAATTCCATAATTTACTTTGGATAAATATAGAAAGATTATAATAATTATATTTAGTCACTTTTCAGAAGAAAAGTGCAAACATTGGGTATTTCACGGTATAAATGGATACCGGTGAAGTAACTCAAAAAATAGTGATAAAAATATTAATATTTCTAGAAAAATATATCGGTCAAGAATATCAAATTTGAGATGAAAATAATAAGCAGTGATGTCAGAACTAATACCGGCTATTTCGCAGTAGAAAATGCATACCATCAAAGTGTCTCGAAAAATTAATATAAAAATATGATAATTCCTACAAAATTGTCTAGGTTAAGAATATAAAATTTTAAAGTTAAACGAAGAGCGAAACTAATTAAACTAAGACTGTTAGTTTAAGTGAGGGCACCTATAAATGGTTAATGGGCACTAAAACCTAGGTTATTTTAGAAAATCTGTGCAGCCCTATTTTTTCTCAAACCTTGAATATTCTCTCCACCACTCCCAAGAAAGATTGTGCCTTTCTCCATAGAAGTTCACAAAGAACACATTTTTATGTTTTATTCTTCTTTTTAATATTCTAAACCCTTGAGAGCTTGTGATTAGTGAAAGAAAGACCCACTTTTGGGGCATTCAAGGTTTTGTTTTGGGGTGTTGTGGGGCTATCCACTTGGGCTTAGGGTGTAGAAGCAATTGTTACAATCTTGGAAGCTTCAAGAACCAATTTTTGTGAAGAAAAGACCTACCATTGAATGTGATTTTCGTGCACCACCAAGTCAGTATCTTGGAGCATTTTCAAAGTCCTCAAAGTTCCCTCATTTTTTTGTTTTCAAAGGCCCTTAGGTAACCCTTCACCATTTTCTTTGTAAATTCATGAACAAAGCTTGTTTTGAGTCTTTAAAAAGGGAAACTTTGATGATTCAAGTTAAAAGTTGTTAATTTAAGGGTAATATGGTAGTTTAAACTTTTGTTTGTGGGTAAATCGAAGGTTGGAACCTTGGGAGGTCATCGGAGCTCGAATTATGCATAAAAATATGCATTTTCGTGTTTCTGCGCAGGTGGTAATCGATTACCAGTAAACGATTACAATCGTTTACCATCAAGGGTAATCGATTACCCCCTGTATGGTAATCGATTACCTAGTGCAAATATGACAACAGCACACTAGTTTGGTAAAATCGTGATATCTCGAGCTATAGAGCTTTAAATTGAGTGAGGTTTAGACCTATCTTAAGCTAAAACATAGGGCTACAACCTTGTAAAATTTCATAGCCATTAGATAAATGGATTCATCGCAGTGTTAGTTTGAAGTCACGACTTGGTTGCTGGAAATTCAGTTTGCAGTAGAAACCTTGCGAAAAACATAACCGGAGTTACACAACTCCGCTTGAGACATAAAGTATTTCGTTTGAAAGCTTAGGATGTCTAGTTTAACATATTAAAATATTATAATTTTTGGTGTAGATTTGCTGTAACACCCCGTTACCGGACCGGTGTGTTATCGACAATTATGATATTAAGCGCAGTCACAATCATAGCAGTTATTTGAAATTACGGAAAAAATTTTTCTTTTTAATAACGTTCGCACTTTTAAAATAATCATATCAGACAATATACTAACTGTGATCACTACTCAAAACTTAAAGCGGAATTATGAAGGTGGCTAAGTGGTTCCCATAAACCAACAAAGCTAAAAACTCATTCTATCCATGTTTAACACTAAATGCCTTCGCCTTTTTATTTACTCTAATAATTTTATATCTCTCAAAGGCTTCTCATTCCTTAATATGTTATATATTTTTTCGTTAGCTTCACATGGGTTCAAACCTCGCTCAATTTGGAGTACTGTAGCTCAAGTTATGAATTTTCTAAGAATGTGATGCTGAACCCGCAGATTACAACGCGAACAGCGCCAAACCGGCGCGATTAAAGGTTTCCAGAATTTCGGCGCGAGTAGCGCCAACTTGGCGCGATCAGCGCAAGAATTTTATCTCTTCTATGTATGTTGGCGCGATTAGCGCCACCACGGCGCTAATAGCGCCAGGGGTCTGGAGATAGACACCAAAATAGGACAATTCGACCTACTTTTGTATTTTACCCTTAACTTGAGTTATACTAATCCAATTTACACAATCTTGGTCTCATTGGAAAGCTAATAAAAAGATATATAACTTCCAAGTAGGCCAAGAGGTCCAATTCTATCATATATGAGACAAAAATTGGGCAGTACCTTGTTTGTATTTTCAACATTTTCCAATTCTTCAATTATGTACCTAATTCAATTTCATCAAAATCTACACTTAACTAGTTCCCAGCTCAACCAATCCATAAACTCATAAATAATTCATCAATTGAAACTTCCATAAAACATCATTTACAACAATTGGTTCTTAAGCATAAACCAGGTGGCATGGACAATCCCCATGCTCACCATATCCAAAACATACAACATTAGAGATATACAATTTCATATTCAAAGTACAACCCATGATAAAATGACTTAGGACAATATATGAACAACCAAAGCATGGCCATATAGTCACATGCAATCCAATGTTCATACCCTAAGTCCAAGATGCAAAGTAATGCTAGTATGTGCAATCCTAGATACTCCCAAAAAAACTATGCTATCCACATGCACTCCATGATCCAATCCTCATCTAGGCAGCCTCTTGCCTGAATATCCTCCACGCTCATTTTGACCTGAAATGATGTCCCCAAACGCGGGGTGAGATATACAAATATATCTCAGTAAACCAAGGGTACTAGGGGATCACTCCACCCCATGGCTCACTCAATGTGCACAAATAACATTATGTAAAGATGCATGACATACAATATCACAAACAACTGGGGACAAATCTAAGAACATCCACATCAGGATTCCGTTCAAGGACCCCATCATATAACTCCCGGAATCTTCCTGGTGCCTCTCCCATGGATTAGACGACCCCATGGCAAAACCCAACTGGAACTCCTCATGAGCCCTATCCAGCGGAAGTCACACGTTTGGATCATCATAGTACCGCTTCCAGAGTCGGCCCCACGGCAAAACCCGACCGGAATTCTCAAAGGATATCTCCAGCGGAAGTCCAAACCAACACACATCTACTGGCCAGAGATCAAACAATTCACACACAACATGCTCCAAGCATGTCACACAATCAAGCAATAATGCATGAACATACATATTCACACAATGTCCAAAGGCACAAAATCCAACCACAACCTTCCACTAGGTGTGGTGGAGCACACAAGGGATTAAAACCCAAGTTCCAAAGGTTTACCTCAACTCCACAAATTTTCTCTCCCACGTAAGCTTCAAGCTTAATCCACTTTTATTGATTCCGTGCGAGGCAACCTATATTGATCAAACAACGATGATCAACAACCAATTGCATATAATCAATTAACTTCACAATAATACTAACCAACATAACCACTTAAGCCTAAAGGCTATTTTTCATTTCTTCAACTATCTCAATCATTTCCATCATCAAACTAACTCA